ACGAACAAGCCATGGCTTCAGCTGAGGATCATCCATCATTGATCTCATTCGGAAGCACAGCAAATACATGATGGCCTGTTGGACCAATAAATAACCATTAATAGAAATGCTGCGCATTGATTGCATATATTTAAAGTTAATTTGCTATTGCAAAAGTTATGACAAATATAAGCAACCTACGCATAGAAGCACAGGTATAAAATAATGCAACTAACAAAAAAATAATCATAATAGGTGTACAGACAGCATGGCACAACCTGTGCTCCACAATACACTCATTATCATCTCAATGTTTATACTTCCATTGCATACACATTTCTTCTTCTCTTTTTTCCTTGAGATAAAAACGAAAATATATTTCAGTATGAAATTCAGTTTATAAACGGAACTTTATTCTCTTTGCATGCCATCTTGTTAAAAATGAAGCTGAAATATTTGATTACTATAATTTTGAAGAAATTATTTCCAAGTAAAAATTTAAATAAATAAAAACACTAACCTGACATCCAGAATAAAATATTCTATGAGCTTCTGGATTTATTGCATCATCCTGCATTTTGACATATTTGACGCACCAATCCACCAACCTAGAACCGAAGTAACATATGACAACTGCATTAGACAGATTCCTTTGGCCTTTCTTTTCTTATGTCTCAATGTTAGGTCATTGTAATCATACAGATTAGATGGGAATGGGGATTTAAGTTTGCACACAACCTTTCCAGTGTGCCAGCAACCACAAAGACTGACAGAAACTTGGCTCGAGACAAATAACTAGCAAGATAAGCAACGGCACTCATTCTGCATGAAACCCAAAAAGAGAAATCAGTACTACAGCAATGCCCCCAAACATGTAAAACTTGAAATGTGGGATTTCAAAATGTCCTCTTTCGTGACCGTAATAGTTACAGATGAATACAAGAACTCAAGATATTCTCCTAGTAAACACACACCAAAAGAAGAAGAAAAGAAAAAGTATTTGAGAGAGGCCCATGCAACCAACTGCATCCACCTCTATGGTCTAAGAAAACCAAAAAATTTAAACCATACAGATACCCTCCCAGTTTTCCCAAACACGTGCAGTGGGTGATCAAGCATGTTATATATATTGTATCATAAGGGGTACTAAACAAAAGTCCAGATGTTCCCCAGAAAAGTGTCAAACCTGAATTCAAAGGTCCCATATAAATGCAAGGTATAATAGCAATTAGAGGAAACTACAAATAAAATGGTATAGCTGATAAATAAATAAAAATATGAAATGTAAGTCCACTTTAAGTGGATCACAATCCGAAAAGCAATTCTCCAACTCATCATTTAAAAAAACCATATTACCTGAGAAGTGGGGGGTTGGTACTGGAAAAGAAAGTATGTTCAAGCATCAAAGCAAATGTCACACCGCAGTTTTTTGGATCAAGAGAACATGCATAGAATATCACAAACTGAAATAAGGCAAAAGAAATTTAATGAGGATTAAAATAAACCACTGGGCATGACATAAAGCATAAAATGAAAAAAAAATCATATATGGTAATAATTTTGTACACTCACCTGGGCAAATTTTGATTTGTATGCAGTCAAAACAGTCTTCTTAAATGACTCGAGAAGAGTATCAAAGATCTAAACACGTCATATACATAGGAAACAAAATGTGAATTGGGAGACGATCATATTGACATGTAAACCAGAAAACAAAATATTGAAAGATACCTTAATAAAAACCCAAAGAAAATTTAAAAATATTTGAAAGATACCTTGATCAAACGGTCAGCTACTTGACAAGATTCAAGATGCTCAAAAGTTAACACCATCAAGCTATCTAATTTTTCAGCAAATGAATTTCCTCCTAAAGTCTTCCGACTTAATTGTCTTGGAAGCTGTATAAATAAAGTGCAGTCACTTTACAATGAAGGGCTAAAATCATCACAAGCAGTCAAGCAAAATAGTAATTATGTGAGGATCAAAACAAATATTAATAAACTCTGTCCAAAGTAGTAACTGTGCTAGAAATTCATATTCTGCTTCTCCCTCGCTCTCTCTCTCCCCATCTTATCTTTCTTCATAAGATTTTGAATCCACCTCTTTCCCTCATGCATGCTAACCTTCTTTGCAACTCCTTGTTAACATTGCTTTAATAAAAACCATTATCAAGACGGTTTACACCAGACATCCTAATTGTGCCTGAATCTCAGCCTCTTTCAACTTAATCCGAATATTCCTAATTCATAAAGAAATCCTAGACTTTCTTGCATAACGCATCATATGTTTCATTTACATAGTTTTAACAAATTCAATCATACCTCACTATCATCATTCAGATCATCATCTCTGGACTCATCCACATCTTCTAGCTCCATCTCAAATATTCCTTTACTAGAATCATTTTTTATGTCTTCCCATCCAATCTCCACCTGTAGGCAGCCAGTCCATAATGTTGTCAAGGAAAAAAAAATTAATTTCCTTCAACTACTAAATAAATTGTACACTGAATATACATACATCCAGGTCTAGCAGCAAATCCACAACACCAGCAAGCATTGGGATCCGAACAACTTCTCCAAGCATGCCACTCTCCAACTTCAACATGTTCTCTACGTATATCACAAGACTAAGAGTCTACAAGAGCAATATAGCATATTATATATTTAGCAATCAACGGAACACTGAGATGATAAGCAATGCGGACATTCAAAAGAAGAAGAAATTTGAAGAATGTACAAATGGTATATAATATACATCACTAAACATTGACCTAAACGTTCATGGCCGTGTTCCATCTCTAGCCTATGCACCATCATAAAGCTAACAAAGATTGAAAATGATATCTTTTAAATTAACAACGTCAATTACTAGATGTGTAAGTGCACATTTAACTTACACTAGTATTATTAAAACGATATTGTGGCTTTCCATCTAAAACAATTGGCACTAGTCTCACAGGGGAAAGTGGCACCAAATCAGCTATATATTTCAGAGATGAATGCACACGAGATAAAACTCCATCCTTTCTTGCAAGAATTTTCGGAAGTGGCAAACTACCAGGTGGAAAGAACTGGCATGTGAGCATCGCCAAACAATCATCAACATACTTCCCGCTTGAAGTGGCCTGCAGCATTGCAAAGTAAAAATCAATCTAAAAATTTTCCCAATTCATTCTAAAAGCTTTGAAAGTGACACATAAAGAAACATATAAAACCAACATACCAAGGATTCAATGAATTCAATCAATGCATCCATCACATCAGGCTTATAGTTCCACAAGCTCATCTTAAAAATCTGAGACATTTTTTGTAAGGAATAATTAATAAAACCCAACTAAGGATTAAAAGCAAACAGAACAAAAACAAAAGTCATAAGACAGCTTACTGCAGAGAGAAGTTCATTATGTAGAACGTTGTCTATGTAAGCAACTGCTCCAGCTAGTGCTTTCAAATTTGTCTGCCGAGTAACAAATGAAAAATTCAAAACCAAACAAAATGAATTGAAGTGAAACAAAATCAAATGATTATAGGCACGAACATGTTACATACCACAAGCATAGCTACTTCATTAGCGCCAAGCTCTTCGGGGTTCATAGCGCTAAGGAGTTGCCGGTAATCCTCAGTATCACCCTGAGCCAAAGGTTCAAACTTTTCAAGCTGAAATCCGAACCAAACAATCAACAATCGCACTAAAAGCCAACTTGCTAGTTCGAAAATGCTTACCGACGAGACTGAGCAAAGAGTATCTCTGGCGCGATAAACCAGGTAAGAATCGATCAAATCACGGTCTCCGATCGTACGGAAAGCTGCCTCGTCCTCCCTGAGCTCAACACCCATGTTTACCTTGCCCTAGCCCTATGGATCCTCCTGCAATTTGTCAGTGAGGATGCCCTAGGCCTTGGGTTCCGGTTCAGCCGAGATAGTAGATAGTGCGAAGTCGTCGTGGTCTTCTTCGTTTGAGCTGCGGCTATGTCGTCGTCGTCGTCGTCGTCGGTGGTGCTTTGTCGGCCAGCGAGTGAGAGAGTTTGGAATGTAAACCCCAAAAAATCAGGGTTTCGAAAAAAGCGGCAGCCTCTTTGTATATATATAGATAACTAACTCTCTCAGTTGAAGCCCCTCTCCATTTTAAACGCGGGAGACTATTATTAAATTTTGGTCTTACCCAATGAAAATTTGCATTTCGACCCAATGAAAATTTGCAATTTGCATTTGAGGACAAAATTGGAATTTTAACCTTTGCATTCAGAGAAAATGCCCATGTAATAAAATACTCTCAACCCCATGGGCCATAGAAGATGTTTCGAAATTGGACAGGTATTAATAAACTTTTCCCAAAATATATCACAAATTCATCTTTCCCGACAAATTCTTTTCGTGAACCAAACAGGGCTTAAGGCCAATTCAATTATACCTTGCTATCATTGCCCACATCTTCTTCTAGCTCCATCCAAAACATTTCTTTACTAGAGAAGAGTCATCTTGTTACATGTCATATCAATCTCCGCCTCTACTTAAGTTATATTGTACAATAAGATACATCTACCCATTGTGAATTGAATTTCTCTTATTATATATTCGAATAACCTCCATTTTATTATCCTCATATGCCTAAAAATAAAAATTATATGTTGGTAAATTTTTTACCTTTAATTGATATCATAATAAGTTCAATGTTAACGGGGTCTAACCCAATAAATAAGAACCTTAACTTGTAGACTAGTGGTCTTAGGTTCAAACTCTCATGACACCGTGATATTGTGTGAGAAAGTCTCCTCCCCAAGTACTTTAGACTATCGTTTGTGCTCAACAACGAAAAAGGTCAATAATGAACGCAAACCCTAAAATGTGTGTGGAATTGGACAGGAAACACAAACAAGCACTCAGCACAGGAAAGAGCCTTTGAAAATATAAAACTTATTAAAGAAGATTAGCCTTGCTATAATATATTCAACTGTGTTAATTGCTGTATCTACCCAATTTTGCGACAATTCAAATGGGAACAGAAAAACCACCAGGAACTAAAATCAAGCTCATCAGTAGACAGATATTCTCCAAATTCAATGTAGAGTAATACCCAAAACAAATAGATAAAAAATAGAGACTAAAGTCTATCACCTCGCATCGCACTCATCATCAGCTTGCCACATTCCTCTGAGGCCATCATAATGTCTGTTTGTACAACCAATACAGTTTAGCAGCTTGCAACTTCCATTAAAGAAAAGAGGGTTTAGTTTACAATGATTCCGGACTTGTTGACGGTCTAATTCTCGAGGGCATTCGCATGGGTTGGTTTATTGCACCACCAAACCTACTATGTAAGGAATCTTTTGGTGTGATAGACATTTTGTTCAATGAAGAGTCGAATTCATCAAAATCAAAATGCTGTTCCTCCAAGGTCTGCATAATCCCATAATCCATTCCACCGTCATCATCATCGTCACCTGCAAAAGCTTCACCGACATCTTCATCACTGGAATCTTCGTCATCATATGTGGGTTGAACCATTGACCAGAAAATGAAGTTTGGCCGGATGTAACTTTGTATAGAGAAAAAGCTAATGTCAGCAAAGCAATATTCAAAGAAAAACAGGCTGGGTGTCACAAATTTCTGTTCAAGGAATGCATTTTCATTCTAATATTATCATGATTCCTGTCAATTCCATGCATCCAACCAGAGTTTTTCCAATGTTCATATGAGATTTAGATGAAAAGGCATCTCCTACTGAAACGATCAATGTAAAGCTGCCACAAACCTGTCACTTTTTTTCAGCAGACATGGGTCAAATGGGAAGAACATGTCGAGTCTTTTCGTCCCACCAAATTCCCTTGAAAGTTCTGATTCCAGGTAGTCGTCAAAATTGAATTTCTCAGATGTCATAAATAACCTAGCTGCTTTTGCTTGCCGTAGAAACTCCAATACAATGGAAGGCAGACACACCTTTCAAATTGAAGATTGAAATTAGGCACTATGATCTGATAGTTTTAGACATAAATGCATCATCCTCAAATGGTATGAAGGAGAATTAAAGGCCAAAGGCTAGAAAGATCAACGAAAATATAATAATGATGCCTGTTTATCGACCAGGGTTAGGCTACATGTAAAAAGTCCTACAAGTTTATGGTTGTACCTGAAAGAGTACTCACCTTCAGCGGGCTCAACTTATTATTCAAAATCAAATCTAAAGGCAAACGAACAAGCCATGGCTTCAGCTGAGGATCATCCATCATTGATCTCATTCGGAAGCACAGCAAATACATGATGGCCTGTTGCACCAATAAATAACCATTAATAGGAATGCTTCGCACTGATTGCACGTATTTAAAGTTAATTTGCTATTGCAAAAGATATGACAAAATATAAGCAACCTAAGCATAGGAATAAAATAATGCAACTAACAAAAAAAATCATAGGTGTCCAGACAGCATGGCACAACCTGTGCTCCACAATACACTCATTATCATCTCAATGTTTATACTTCCATTGCATAAACATTTCATTTCATTTTTCTTGAGATAAAAAACAAAAGCATATTTCAATATGAAATTCAGTTTATAAACACTAGTTTATTCTCTTCACATCTTGTTAATAATGAAAGTTGAAATATTTGATTACTATAACTTTGAAGAAATTATTTCTAAGTTAAAAAATAATAATAATAACCTGACATCCAGAATAAAATATCCTATGAGCTTCTGGATTTATTTCATCATCCTGCATTTCGATATATTTGAAACACCAATCCACCAACCTGGAACCAGAGTAACATATGACAACTGCATTAGATAAATTCCTTCGGTCTTTCCTTTCTTATGTCTCAATGTAATACAGATAGATGGGGATGGGACTATTTAAGTTTGTACACCACCTTTGCAGGGTGCCAGCAACCACAGAGACCGACAGAAATTTTGCCCGAGACAAATAACTAGCAAGGTAAGCAACGACATTCATTCTGCAAGAAACTCAAAAGAGGAATCAGTACTATATAACAATGCACCCCAAACATGTAAAATATGAAATTTATGATTTTCAAAATTTCCTCTTTGGATATCATAAACACACACCAAAAGAAAAAAGAAATATTTGAGAGAGGATGCAACAAATTGCATCCACCTCTGTGATTTAAGAAAACAAATTTTAAACCACATTGACTCTTCCCAGGTTTCCAAACATGCCTAGTACCCATTAAAACTATGTTGTATCATAATGGGTACTAAATACAAGTCCAGATAATCCTTAGAAAAGTGTCAAATACTAAAACCTGCTCATGAAATGTTTAAGTCCACTGTAAATCCTAAAAGCAATCCATGATATGATTGTTCTCCAACTTAAAAACTAAGAAAAAAATGGAAATCAATGTTTAAAAAAGCATATTACCCGATGTCTGGGTAGTTAGTACTGCAAAAGAATTTATCTTCAAGCTTCAAAGCAAATGTCACACCGCAGTTTCCAGGATCAAGAGCACACACATAGAATATCACAAACTGTAACAAGGGAAAAATAAACTTAATATGAGGATTAAAATAAACCACTAGATATGCCATAAAGCATAAAAAGTATAAAAGAAAAAATAACATATATGGTAATTTCCTATGCTCACCTGGGAAAATTTTGGTTTGTATGCAGTCAAAACAGTCTTCATAAATGAGTCCAGAAGAGTTTGAAAGATCTAAACACACCATATACAGAGGAAAAAATTGTGAATACTAGATTGGGAGACGATCGTATTGAATATGTGGACCAGAAAACAAAAGATTGAAAGATACCTCAATTGAAAACCAAAGAATTTTTTTTAAAAAAAGTTTATTTGAAAGATACCTGGATCAAATGGCCACCACAAGATTCAAGATGCTCAAAAATTAACACCATCAAGCTATCCAATTTTTCAGCAAATGCTTTTGCTTCTGGACTCTTCAGACTTAATCCTCTACGAAGCTGTATTAATAAAGTTCAATCACTTTACAATGAAGGGCTAAAATCATCATAACCAGCTAATAATATAACATGCATGATGTGAGGACCAAAACAAATATTATCAAGAGGGTTTCCACCATACATCCTAACTGTGCTCTGAATCTCAGCCTCTCTCAACTTAATTCTCCATCCTCCTAATTCATAAAGAAATCCTCTTGATAATATTTAGGAAATTCGGAATCGAAAGAGTAGTTGACTATTCTCAGGTAACCCTGACAGTTAGGAAATTCGGAATCGAAAAATTCCTTCACGAAGTTTTCTCCTAAGCTCATCAGTGTAACTTCTGTTATTCTCTTTGATAGCTCTGTCATTTTGCTTCCATACTCTTTTTAAGTATCTCACTGGAAATAGAATAACAAACCAACACGCATGTGAACATTTATGCTGCACTTGACACTTGTAATTGAGAGTCATATAAAATGCCAATGTGCTATTATTATTAATTACTTTAATTTGTAATTATGTTTTAATTATTATTTACTTAGTGAATAATTAGAATTTAAATGTTTGAATATATTTTATTTTTATTCAATAATATGTGAGTATTTTGTGTATTATTGAAAATTTTACAAAAAATACTTGTATTAAACATGAAAAATATGTACATCCATATAGAATACGTGTACTATACGTTTGCTTTTATAAAAAAAACTTGAATTTCACTGAGTCTTTAAGATGAATATAGAAAACGGAAGTGTTATTGGAAATATGTACATATGTACATCGTATAGCCGGGCGGCTATACTCCGTAAAAAGAAATATTTCAAATGTATAGCCGCGCGGCTGTACTTTATAAATAGAATTTCTTAAAAGTATAGCTGAGCGGCTAGACCTATTAAATAGCATAATCCGACTTTCTTTCTTTTTTAAAAAAAATTATTTAATAAGTAGTTATGTTTTAATTATTATTTATTTAGTGAATAATTAGTACTTAAATATTTGAATATTTTTTTAATGAATAATTTGTGAGTATTTTGTGTATAATACATATTTTTTGTGTGTATTATTTTGTAAAGAACACGTGTATTAAACATGAAAAATGCATATGTCCATGTACCATACGTGTACTGTATGTTTTCTTTTTGAAAAAACTTTATTTTTACTGAGTCTTTAAGACATATATGAAAAACATAAGTATTATTGAAAAATAAGTACGTACGTGTATTAAACAGGAAAATGCTAAATTCTTTATGCAAGTAAAAAATAAATAATGTAAAATAGAGATTCATGCAATGACCTAATAGTAATGGATAATGCCCTAAACTACTCTTATTGATAAACGAAAATCAGTAAAAAATAATTACATTAAAAATAGGATTGGAGTAGATATTTAAAGAGTATAGCCGACCGGCTATACGATTTATTTAAAATAAAAAATACAAAAACCCGAGTATAGCCGCACGGCTAGACGATTTTAAACTTTTTTTAAAAAGACACGCATGTTTTTTTAATAGTATAGCCGCTCGGCTGTACTCTGTAAAGAGCAAATTTTTTTTTTCCCTGACTTTGAAGAAAAACATTAATAAAATAGGCTCAGCCCATGGGCTAGGGAAATCTTCGTCGCTGAAGAATAAAGGTGAGCTCGAACGGCCCGTAACACATCAAAACAACAAGGTTCTGAATGTCGTAGATAAGGCCCAAGTGAACATGACTCCAGTCTGTAAAGCTTACTAGCATGCTCATTCAATAGATGTACCCAAAAAGTCTTTTTTTTTTTTTTTGGGGTTAAATTTTTATATAAAAAATATTAATAATAGTTTTTTTTAAGTTAAATACTTTTTTGGTCACTAGTAAAAAAATATAGCCAAATTGTCATTGTGTTTCCCAAAGTTTACAATTTATAGACATTCCTTTTAAGTGCAGTTATTATTATTATTATTATTTTAATAGAAAGCACGTCCCTCCTTCATCTAACTAAATGAGTTAGGGTATATTGTGCTATTACAGTTTACAAATTGATCTTGGGTTAAAATCAAAATTGTGAGGTATAAGGAAAATCAAAAAGCCAAACAAAACTAAAATGAAATCAACAACTTACCAATATATTTTGGTGCTCTATGTAACTTTGATTACGTCTCCTTGCCATCCAAAGTAACAATACGGTTCTCACTCAATTGATTCAAGCTTCAATATTGCATCCAATCTGTGACCTTGTAACTCACAATTTTTATTTCAACCCAATATTTCCCCCAATTTGTTAAACGCTAATAGCACAATATACCATAACTCATTGAGTTGGAGAAAGAAGACTGAACGTGCTTCCTAAACAAAATAAATAAAATTGCACTAAATGGAAGTTAACCGAATGACCAATTTGGCTAAAAAAAATTCTCAATGACCCAATTGAACTTTCGTGTAAAACCCAGTTACCAAAAAGGTATTTAACCTTTTTCTATTTTCATCAACTAGGGGATTTCAAATTTGAAAGATCCTTTTATATTTATAAATCAAATTGGATTGTCTGAAAATTAGAATCATAGACTATATTCACCTATGACACCTTAATTAACAATTGTCGCTTAAGTAATTAAGAGTATTTACCATGCACCTAAGTACTAGGATCGATTTCCTCTCCCTCATCATTACTTGTATCGAACTAATACAACAACCGAAGTATAGTACAATTATATTGGTCTATACAACGAGTCACTCGCATTCAAATTTTCACATATCAGTCACATAATTAGTTCCTATGAGAGAATAATCTTCTTGCACTTGTCATGTAATCAGTTAGTGCGGGGGAATTGTTTGTATACCAAATTTGAATTGGAGAAAGATTTTGTTTTCTATAAGAGCATCCATAGTAGGGGGTGTATTTTCGGGGGTGTAAAGCCACTTTTACATCCCCTTTACACCTCCGGGGGGTGTAAATACGCTTTTTGCTCCAATGGGGGGGTGTATTTTCGGGGGTGTAAAGCCACTTTTACATCCCCTTTATACCTCCGGGGGGTGTAAATACGCTTTTTGCTCCAATGGGGGGGTGTATTTTCGGGGGTGTAAAACCACTTTTCTCCATTTTTCCTCTCCTTTTTGCAGCTGAGTCCCACCTGCAAAAGATGTAAAAAAAAAATGTACAATTGCATCTAAATATACATCTCCAAGGTGGTGATGTAATTATACATTCATATACACCCCCCATTACGGGTGATTCCAATCACAACGGGTGTATATTTAACGTACACCCCCTTATACACACACCCACTGTGGATGCTCTAATAACAGAACACGAACAAGTGAGAAGGCCAATGGGACTGAAGTGATACCAGTGTCATAGTCAACAAGTGGAAAAGGGAAAGGACACATTGGACAAGAGAAAAGCAGAGCATGTGAGGGGAGGGAGTTGAGAGTCCTCCTCACTCACACCATGATAGTAGCAGTTACTAGAAATCTATCATCCATCGCGAAACCAAAATTATTTTATAAAAAAAAAAAAGGGAAAAAGAAGATGTTGAGAAAACGGTTATGGCGTGAGCAGTAACTAACAGCTGGATACGGTTGGACATCCAATTTTCCAACCCATGATCCATGTAGCAACAACAGCAACACGTGTCACACATCCCAACGTGGACACCTGGACACCGCATTTACTGCACAGCCCCCCACCCTAATGGACCCAATCCAATCCCACTCGTTCGTTGTCCGTTGGACTGGCAGCCCCACCAGCTTTTAGCCCAGGTCTCCCATAATATCCAATTCAACAACCGCCTATTTTTGCCTTCGGCCTATGTGTAAAATATACATTAACGGTCGCAATTTAATGAGGCTTGATAGATAATTATTTTAGAGGAAACTTAAAATAATTGTGGTTCCTTCCTTGTGGATATTCTGGCTGCTGATGTTAGTGGTGCTTTCAGGCCCTGTTTCTTTAATTTATGAAAAAGTAGGTTTGGGAATAGGAAATTAATTGATTTTTCATATTTGTTAAGTTCATATATGAGAAATGGTTGCCTAACACGTAAGAAAGTAAGGGGGGGAAAGTGAATCCCTTCTACGAACTTGGGTTTTGTTTTCCCTCCTCATGGGAACGTTTGGGAAAATGAGCCAACATTAAATACACATTTTCATGACCATTTTTTCCTCATTAACAATTTAGAATTACAATATATTATTAAATGCATTCTTTTTTTATTTGATTTAATATGGGTATAATTAGAAAATTATACAAGCTTTGTTTTTCATTCATACTCAAAACAAACATGGGAAATAAAATAAAGTGATATCTCCTGATTACTTTTCCTACATTAACAAACGTAGGAAATGAATATTCCATTTCTCATCCCTTGGGAGATGATATGGGGAGCGATTTCCTCTCAAATCCGTTTCGTGAACCAAACGAGGTCTTTGTGTTTAGGCGTTAGCCTTTTTGTTATAAAATAATAATAATAATTATTATTATTATGGTTAGTACTGAAATATGAGCATGTGATATAATTCGTACATGTGTTATATAAGTGGATATTTGTTGTTACTATATTATAACAATAACACATAAACGAGTTATATCTTGCAAACAAAACTTTAGTACCATAAAATAATTTATCAAAAAATTGAAATTGAAATTTCTACTAATATTGGACAGAAAATCATCATTAAATTAGGAGCTACTTGAACAGAGTAATATTGTTCTAATTCAAAAATGGCAATTACGGATTATATTTCCAATAAAAATGACATAAACTTGTTAATTATAGAGTACAAACAATTTTAGTGATGGGTCAAATTCATTCACGAGCAGTCGTTGGCGAGCTTTCAATTTGACGTGTATGCCCCTCGCGTCCGCCTTGTTTTGGACAGGGTGTGTAGGGGGATTTGCGTTGTGTGGGTCCTACGTCAAGGGAGTGCAATAAATAACTCACCGCTTAATTTGATTAATTAAATCCTAAAACAAACGGCGTTTAGCAATTTTGCACAGGAGGGTAATTTTGAAAATTTAGGAGGTGGTGGTCGTGGGAGCTGACAGTCCCCCCTGATAACCAATCAGCCAATGAGTCATAATCGGTTTCACGCTATAATATAGGAAGTATTTTTGCTCATCACTTTAACCATAGGTGTACCCTCACCACCATCCTCAATGCTTGACACGTGTCCATAGGTATAATCATGATTCCATAAATACAAAGCAAAAGTTAACTATGGTTATGTCTATGGACACGTGTCAAGCATTGAGGATGGTGGTGAGGGTACACCTATGGTTAAAGTGGTGAGCAAAAATGCACCCGTAGCTATCAAAACTATCAAATTTCTTTTTTTATATTTAAACAAAAAAATTATCTTTTAGCGCATGTTTGATATTGCTTATTTGGGGTGATAA